CCCCCCCCCCCCCGGGGGGTTTGATATGCACCCCCCCCCCCCCCCCGGGGCCCCCGGGGAAAAAATTTTTTTTTTTTTTCCCAAAATTTTTTTTTTGGGGCCCCCTTTTTTTTTTTTTTCGGGCCCAAAAAACCTGGGGGGAAAACCCCCCCCTTTTTTTGGGGGAGTTAACTTTTTTTGGGGGGAAAGGCCCCCCACCCCCGGTAAAAAAAAGGAAAAGGCATAATTTGGATTTTTTTGAAAAAATGGCAAAAAAGTAAAAAACCCGGGGGGGCTTTTATTTTAGAATAAAGGGAGGTTGGGGGGGAAACAGCCTTTTCCCATTTTTTTTTTTATAAATTAATACATTTTTATTAAATATTTTTCTCCAAGCCATTTTGCCTTGTCTATTCATTTCCCCTAAATGGTATATTTTGTTTGTTTTTTTCTTTAATGGTATATTTTGATAAACAGAAGTTCTTCATTCTCATTAAGCTTAGTTGACAAAGATATTTGCTTTTATATTTATCTATTTCTGTGTACTACCTACCAAAAAACATTGCCTACACCCAGATTGAAAAGATATTTGTTTATGTTTCCTTCAAGAATCTTTGTAGTTTAAGGTGTATATATATATATATATATATATATATATATATATATATATATATATATTGATTTGCCCACAGGTAAATAAGTAACATTGTCTTACAGAGGATCATATTTTTCTACCTCTTAAAATCAGTTAAATAAACCAAAATTAATAAAAACATATTACCTTAAAATAGTAACTTTTGAATTTTCTGAAAATTTCCTTGGACTCAAAAGTGAACTTGAATTTTCTAGTTCTTGCCTAATATTTTACAGATGACTTATAGAAGTTCCATTCATTCTTGTAAGGTTACTGAGGAATCAGTTAGTCAATTATTATGTTTAGTAAACTTAGACAAAACCCTGACTCCCAAAGAGAAGATTTTTTCACTTAAAAAACCTGAGAAAATAAGTGGAATTGTTATGGATTTACTTATTTCCCTCATTTGCTCAATAAGTTCAGGCCAATCAAGAGACAGTGATTTTTTGTGTGTGATGGTATAAGATAATCATTTACTTACCCTCCATGATAGTCAAAGGATCTTCCATTTTGGGGCGCAGGATATTAGGGCCAAAGACAGTGGCCAAGTTCTGTGCACTCATTTTGTTAACTCCTGAATAGGATTGTACTTCATCCAAGAATCTGTTGGGTGTAAGAATGTGAAGAAAACACGAGGTTAAATTTGCCAATAGAATAAAATGAGTCATCCTATATAATAAAAGGCTAATACACAAATAGACTGAACCGTGGAATGACCGGTTGCTATGATGTGCACTGACCACCAGGGGACAGATGCTTACTGCAGGAGCTGCCTCCTGGTGGTCAGTGTGCTCCCACGGGGGGAGCGCCACTCAGTCAGAAGCCGGGCACAGGACTGGCGAGCACAGTGGCAATGGCGGGAGCATCTCTTGCCTCCGCAGCAGTCGGACATCCCCAGAGGGCTCCTGGACTGCAAGAGGGCGCAGGCCAGGCTGAGGGACCCCCCCAGAGTGCAGTCATTTCATGCACCGGGCCTCTAGTTATAAAATGTTTATAAACTCGAGAATGTTAAGCGATGATTATGTAGGTAAAATTATTTAGGAATTCAAACATCTCTTAATCAAATGTGGAGAAAATATGTTGCAAATTATTAAGAACCAGACTTGAGGAATCATATCAGATATCACCTCTGGCCTGGCTTGACTTGGTTTCCTCTGTCAGTTACAGAAACAAGTGTTTGGATAATACTAATATGGACTTAGATTGAAGAATATGAGTTCCCTTCCAACGCCTCAATAAAGTATTAAATATGTGTATTCAATCTGAGAATTATAAATAAGATCATCTGGTACAATCCCTTATTTCAGAGGGGAAGAATCACTCCTCTTTGTGGAGTAATTTGTGAGCTTTCCATTTATAGTCTGTTAAAAATGAGACCAAACATTTTTAAAATTAAAACCTCATTTCTACTGACATGAAAATTACAACAGAAATTGTTTCAATTTATTAGGTGCTAAAGAACAAGAGGCATGAAATCAGCCTTTTCCTGAATGAATTTAGTGGGGGAGGGTTGTTTTTGTAGTCTTTCAGCCTTTTTTCATTCCCTCTCCCTTCTTCATTTTGGCAAGAACTTCTGTTTTGCATGGCTTACAGATTTAACCGATAAGACAAAAAAGGAAATGATGAAAAATAAAAGTTAACTTATTTTATGTTACTTAATACATGTTATTATGTGTCAGTCATTGTGCTACCTTGTTAAATTCTCACAGCATCCCTGTGAGGTAAGTACTATGATTGTCTCCATTTTACAGGTGAGACACACGAGGCACCAGAGGTTAAAAGTCTTTGCCAAGGACACGGGGTTAGTAAGTGGGAGAGCTGAGCTTTGAACCCCGGTGTTCTGACTCTAGAGTTTGTGCTCTTCATTACCACACCAGGACTTTTCAAAAAGGTGCTTATTTCCGCATGATATACAGACTAACTATATACAGACTAACTATAATAAAACTGAAGGACAAAAAGCCAAACTACCATTTCTTATTTGAAATAGTTGAAATTAAAAGTCTGCTTAGATGTTTCAAGAGAAGTTAAGTTTTTCCATTGTGACGATAAAGACTTGCAATAGGGTTCTCAAAGCCTTTTTCCCCGTTTACTTAAAGAGAATTTAATCTTTTTATTATCCAGTACAGTAGTGGTCATTTCAGATACTCTGCAGTCGTGTCAATCATCAATTTCTTTATTTAAATTTAATACGTTTTGATTTTATGTTTGGCTTTTTTAAGCAGGAGCACAGACATGGAGCCTCCCATCCCAGGCTCTAAGTTAAATATGGTCACTGAGAGAGCGCCTTTCCAGGCACAGCTATTTTTCTAACAGAGTTGAATTACAAATGTCTTTTCAATGAGTCTGAGGTGGGAGAGGAATTGAAAGAAAATAAAGTGCAGTAAGCACTTATTACATATACATTAAGTTAAAGATATAATTCAATTTTAAAACAAATGTGTGAGATGTGTGTTTTTACTACCATTTTACCGATTAGGACTCTTAGATTCAAAGAGAATAAGAAATTGCATAAAGATAAGTAAGTAGTCAGTGGTAGAATCTGGCCTCCCATGCAAACCCTTGTCATGCCAAGGAGCATGTTCCGTCTCTTAAACAATAGTACAAGGTACCTGTACAAACAACTTTGACTAAAGTTCAAAGCAACATAGCTTTAATATGTGAAGCTAAGAGAGACTTCAGAAATGACAAATTACAGAATCATGCAATCTTAGTGCTCAGAGAACCTTTGACATCACGTTGTCAAACCTCCTACTTTTACAAGGTCAACATGCGAGCTCAAAGCAGTAAAATGATTTTATACACCGTCAAACATAAGTTAGTGTCAGGCTAAATATAGTCTGGTTTTGTTTAGGACAATTCTTACCTGCAAATATACTTGAGGAGATTATAATTGACCACTGGCAAACTCTTCACCTGCTTTGCTAATTCCTTCACGCCCTGAGTATAAAGAAAAAGAGAATAAATATTACCTTTCTAAGTACTGGTCTTGGAATTAAAGCAAATGGGAAAAGGAGACATACAGTGCTGTGTGTTTTTTTAAATTAATTTCACATATTATTAGTGTAGGGTCCTGTCTTAAAAACTTGCTACCATCACAGAGAGAATGTTAGAAATATTTTCAAGGATGTGAAAGGATTTCAAATATTTCCATAAGTACTATTTGTGGAGAAAAAGATTTAAGTGAAGCCCTTTTAACATTTTAAGCATTTGTTCAGTTTCCTAAAAATGGGAGATAGCTGCAATTATAATAAGTCTATTGGGGAGAAAAAGTAGTGTTGATGTATTGAAAGTCCTTCCCATTTTCAGCATGCCCCAAATATAGAGAAACACACGTCTACAGACAAATAAGTCTCTCAAAATTGGTCATGTCTAGGACACATCGTTTGGGGTGGGAAGCCTGATCTTCCTGGAAATTTCACAAAGGGATTAAATGCTTTGTTTCTTCTCATTGTAGAACTTCCTCTGAAATAGAAATGGTCCCAGAAAAACTATCGGATGATGTAATCTGACTTGTTCTTCTCCCTGTAATGGGCCAGACAGTAAGCATTTTAAGCTTTCTGGGAAATATGGTCTCTGTCTCAACTATTCCACTCTTCTGTTTTAGTGCAAAAGCAGCCACAGACAACATTATATAACAAACAGGCAGCAATTTTGACAAGAGTGCCAAGAAAATCCAATAGGAAAAAAGGGATAGTTTCTTCAACAAATGGTGGTGAGACAACTAGATATGCACATGCCAGAGAATGATACTGAACCCTTTTCTCACCCCATAAACACAAACTAACTGAAAGTGGAGCTTACAAATTAAATGTGAGAGCTAAAGTTATAAAAGGCTTAGAAGAAAATATGGGAGTAAATTTTTGTGACCTTGGGTTAAATAACGCCTTCTTAGATATTCGAATAAAAGCACAAGTGACAAATGAAAAATGGTTAAATTAGGCTTTATCAACATTAAAAATTTTTGTGCTTCAAAGGATACCAATCAAGAAAATGAAGAGACAAATCATAGAATGGGAGAAAATATTTTCAAATCACAGACCTGATAAGGGACATGTATCTAAATTATATAAAGAACTCTTACAACTTAATAATAAGATAAAAAACTGAAATAAAATGGGGAAATGTCCTGTCTATGAGGTTTCTCAAAAAAAAAATACACCCATAGTCAATAAGTACATGAAAAGATATTTAAAATCATTAGCCATGAGGGAAATGCAACTCATACCTCAATGATATACCACTTTACACACATTAGAATGGCTATGATAAGAAAGAGAGAGAACAAGTGCTGGCAAAAATGTAGAGGACTTGAGACCTGCACACATTGGAAGTTTACATGGTGAAGCCTCTTCAGAAAACAGTGTTACATATGGCCCAGCAATTCTACCTCCTAGATATAAACCCAAGAGAAATGAGAACACATGTTCATAGCAGCATCATTAATAATAGCCAATCAATGGAAATGCCTGTCTTGCAACCGATGAATAAATAAATAATGGAATATTATTTAGAAATAAAATATCAATACATGGTACAATGTAGATGAACCTTGAAAACAGTGAAAGAAACCAGTCACAAAAGACAACATGTTGAATGATGCCATTTATATGAAATGTCCAAAATAGGCAAACTTATAGAGATAGGAAGTTGATTAGTAGTTGCCAAGAGTTGGGAAAGGAGAAGCATGGGGAACAGGTATGAAGTTTATGGGGTGATAAAATGTGCTAACTATCCTACAATTAGATTTTGGTGACGGTAGCAGAACTCTGAGAATATAGTAAAAAGTACTGAATTGTACACTTCAAATGGGTGATTGTATAGTATCTGAATTGTATCTCAACAAAGCTGTTTTTACAAAAACAGGCAGTAGGGAGGATTTCTTAGGAGTCATTGTTTGAGGTGATTTAAGAGGCACAGCATGAAAAAGGAAACATGAAGTAAGTCATCCACTTTGTTCATAGACTATTTGGCACCACAATTAACCTTTTAGGGGAGCATAGTGGCAAGGAGTGCTCATTGCATTTATTCGGTCATATTTTTCTTTTTTTAATGAGAGAAGGGATTAAAAATGGGACCTGAGTTGTGTGTGTCAAGTCTAAATGTGTGTGATGTCAATACACAGAAGAGTGGAACACAATCCAAGGGTAGGGCAAAGGAAAGATTACAAATTAAAGACAAAGAACACTGACAAAACCCTCAAACAAAAGCTTTCGTAGAAATAAATGCAGAGACTTACGGCTTCCTCTTCCTTGCTGAGCAGTTTGGCACATGACAAAAAATCTTCATACTTCGCATAAGGAATCACTGGTTCTGGAAGTTCTCGGAGATACAGTTTGAGAAGTGACGCCACTGTGTGCACATCCGTGTTGCTGTGGAGAGAGAAATGTGAAGATCATCTTTGGACTGAACCTTATAGCATTTTATTTTTTTTAATCAAATATATATGTATGTGTCAGAATTATATATGAATTTGCAATGAAATCAGTCAATCCAGCTTTCAAGAAATACATACTTATGTGACGATGCCTACTAGATGCTACCGCAGGTGGAAAGGAAAGAAACACATAGAAGGACAATTGCAATTCTCAGTGTGGTTTGAAAGTTCAGCATTTTGCTTTTGTGTGTATTTGATGTTAAGCAAAAGTGTTAACTTTTGAAAACAATGAGTATGTACCAGACTTTAAATAAAATAGGACACAATTTACCAAAAAATACCAAATCTACATATGTGTGTACGTGTGTATTTAATGTCAAAATTAATTACTTCTGAATCTTAACTTTATTTCTCAAAATATCTCTCATTCCTGAGAAGACATTGGTGATTGGTTATAGATACCTGAGGCTTGCCATGACATGCTGCAGCTTTTAAGCAGAGTCCATTTTGAAAATGATTGAATATCAGCATGATTGCTTGTCTAATATTCTAAGATAGTTGGGAACCCTTAGAGTCTTTTAGAAAGGAAAGGAAAGTGCTACAAAAATAAACAATGAAAACTTAACATGAAATGCACATTTTTATTCTCTGCTGAATATTAGAGTGGCAGGATAATTTACTGAAATGTTATTTTATATTTTGTTTTCTGTATTTCCCTATTCCCAGTAAATCCATGAAGATGGCTGACAGCAAAGACAGAAAGAGAAGGGGTTGTCTTTTTCTGTTGTTTTTTTTTTTTTTTTTTGTTGTTGTTGTTTTTTTTTTTTTTTTTTTAATCTGGGGGCAGAGGGACAGGAAAATGGGAAGGGGAGATGGGTGAGCAGGGAGTAAAAAGGTCAATTGATTCCCAGGAAGTGGGAAGAGTGGTAGTGAATGGGGTCAGGGATTTTGTCAGTAATGAGAACATACACCCACTCCCAGACCTCGCTGAAGGAAGTGACAAGTCGCCAGAGGGATACACCTGGACAAGCTGGAACAGAAGCACCGAAATTCTCTACCTCTGTGAATATTCTGTTGGCCCAAGAGCAGATGAAAGCAGAGTTGACTTCACCAAACTAAGTGGGCTGAGGCCATGGGCATTTCACCTCTCAGTGTGGGACTCAGGTTGACTTCACCAGGCATTTCCCACAGCTAATCTGTATTAGACGCTACAGAAACACAGTGGCTAGGACCCCGATGAGTTAAAGGAATGTATTATTCTTGCCTGCTTATAATTTATAACCGGGTGGGGGGGAGCAGATATTAAGTAGATAATAATACAAGTTCATAATCACAAGGTGGTAATAAGGAAAAGTATCAGATGCTATCAAGAGAGGACTAATCTAGAGGCTGTTTCTCTGAGGAATGATGTTGGGGCCAAGATCTGAAGTGTGTGTGTAAGAATTAGCTATGTGAAAGCTGAAGAACAGAAGGAGATTTTCCTGATTAATGCAAAGCAGATAAACAGAGACCTACGTGAGAGGAAGCGTCCTGTCCTTGAGGAGCTGACAAAGGCCAGGGAGACCAGATCTCATAGTGGGACTGGACCATGGACTTCACCTTCCTCAGAAGTAGGGGAGGGCTGAGTTTTTCCATTTTCACACTGAAGTGAGTCAAAGGAGGCATTCTGCCAATCGTTTTGCAGAATTTAAAATAATAAAGGTGACCTGATAAGGCCTGTATTAACTAACTTTATTATTTCCATAATTAAGTAACTATTTTTTCTCTTAAAATTCTCAACTGATAGACAATATAGAAGTCATCTCAAAGGCTTATAAAGAAAATAAAAATCATGTCTTCCGGATGTCTTGAAAGTTGTGACCAAACTCATTAATTCCTAAAAATACTTTCCTCCAATTTTTTTTTAAAGCTAGGCCTAAAGTAGTCTCAATGGTAAGACATGAAAGACACTATTTTTTTTCCTGGCAAACCACTCTACTTCCTGCATATCAAAGCCCTTCTGTGTTTCTAGTGCTATGTTGTAAATCACCTGACCCCTGGGGGTGCAGTCCTCAGTAGTAACAAAACCACAAACTGGAAGGACGGGCAGTTCAACCAAGTATTAAACTATTTCCATCTTTTGATTCCACTCAAATCCAAACCACACTCTAACCCAAAGAAATTTATGACCAGGTTAGGTTGTATTGCCTTCAAATTCAATGACAATTTTGTTAGGTTATAGGTAGCTACAGAGAGAAATATAAAAATATAATATCAAATAAGTATAATTTCAATATGTGGAATATATCATGTATAATTTGTATGACCACATAGAATATATAAAATATTTATGAAATAAATACAATAAATAAATGAGACAATAAGGAATATATATATTTAACAAAAAATCTATTTTAGTATTTCAATGACGAACTATTCATTACTCTCCCCAAGCACACTGTTTTTAAGGTAACTTGCTGTTTTTTGTTTTTTATTTCTTCATGTTTCTCACTGCCTTTGATCAGGTTTTTATTCAAAATTAGCTGTCCAAAGTGATTTGAACTTTATGGAATAAATTGGATTTTTTTCTTTTGCGGTGAGTTTCTTTTCTGAGGACTTCTCAGTTGCTGGTTTCTTTGGTACCTGTAGCCTTTTTACTTCCTGTATTATTTTGCTTCTAATGAAGTTGAGCTATAGCACTGAGGACGTTTGAACACTAGATGGCGCGATTGCAAAGTTAGACTAATCGAGAGGGTGTGAAAATTGTGAGGGATGAAAGGCTGCAGAATCATTCTTCATCCGCCAGCGATATTCTTAGTTCCAAAGCTGCAGTAATTTCCCAAGAATAGAAATATTCGAGCTATGAGTCAAGGTAAGAGATGTGGACTGGGATGATTATATTATCCCTTCCCTACAGTAATATGTTACATTATCTTTTTAGTTTCTAGTATACATAAACCTACACACTATTTAATAGAAATAATGAAGAAAAATTAAAATATATTTTCTTGTTTTTTGATTAGCAAATGTTATTAAATTTTTTGCTTAAAGAATAAAACAAATTTATGGCTCCTTTGGGGGCTTTATTAAACTTAGGTTATTTTGTAGGAAAAGAGACTTCTACGTTATCATTTTTGGCTTTGTCCTCTCCCACTGAATGGAAGAAGACAATCACTTCTGGACTGACGCCAACGTATTTGCTGGTTCTGATTCACTTCAAGAGCCTCACAGTGCATCCACCCCAATTGCCAGTATGCTACCCACTATGATAGGAAGTCTGGGGTTTCTCTAACAGAACCACACTGTGCATCTAACTCTCCAGCCTGACACCCCTCACTGATAACTCATTATTTAGCCTAATCTTTAAAAATATTTTTTTATTGGTTTCAGAGAGGAAGGGAAAGGGAGAGAGAGATGGAAACATCATTGATTGGCTGCCTCCTGCACACCCCCTCCTGGGGATCCAGCCTGCAACCCAGGCATGTGCCCTGACCAGGAATTGAACCTGGGACCCTTGAGTCCTCAGGCTGATGCTCTATCCACTGAGCCAAACTGGCTAGAGCATTACTTAGCCTAATTAATATTTGCTTAATATATGGCCAATTAGGTAAATACCAATTAAGATGGGTTCTATATTGTCTATTCATTTAGAATTTTAAGATAAAAATATTTTTTAATTATGAAAAGAATAAAATTAATTAGATAAGACAAGCCCTACCTATCAGATCACCTCTATTATTTTAACATCTGCAACTGTATGTTAATTGTCCAATGTACCTAGAAAAACGTGTTCTCTTTGCCTCAGAGAAATATATATCAGTCTTTATCAAAGGGAGGTCGAGTGACTGCATTATGGCAAAAGCTGGTGTACATGGAGAATTAAAATCCCTAACCCGGCCAATTATAGTAATAACAACAGCAGCAGCACACACCTGCGCACATCTCTTTGTGCATCAGGCCTGCCAAGCAGCTCATTGAATGGGTTCTGTTATGAACTCTCTTTGGGGTTCTTGAAAGGAAATTGTACATTATATAAACATTATATAAAATTCTTTTTGGCTAATTACTGATAGATGAGGTTTTTTTTAAAAAATATATTTTATTGATTTCTTACAGAGAGGAAGGGAGAGGGATAGAGAGTCAGAAACATCGATGAGAGAGAAACATTGATCAGCTGCCTCCTGCACGCCCCCCTACTGGGGATGTGCCCGCAATCAAGGTACATGCCCTTGACCGGAATTGAACCCAGGACCCTTCAGTCTGCAGGCCGACACTTTATCCACTGAGCCAAACTGGTCAGGGCAAGATGAGGGTTTTTAATGTAACACTCTTTTAGTAGGAATTCAAAACTATTTGCTAATGTAAAATCATTATACAAACCTCAGGTCTCTTTCATTCACCTGGCAGTACAATCTGTTTTCAGAAGCTAAGATAAATAACCATGGACATTCTATTCAGTGATAGCAAAGAGGCAGAACCAGGCCCGGGAATCCTGAGTAAAGGAGCTGTCAGGCCAGAAGATGCTCCAAAGCATATGTCCCTTCATTGATCAACATACGGGTTTTGTTTACAACCTATATTATACTTGTACTTCTGAATTCTGCAGTGTTTTCTATTACACTTAAAGGGGGGGGGTTCCATGAGACTTTCTACAATTGACCTAATTTTATATATTTTATATTCTCAGAGGTCTCCCTTTGGTCATTCTGGGATTGTTCTAGAAATCACTACCTCACCAAATAGTTTACAAACATTTATAGTGTGCACTGCCCCATGCCACACGCTAGGTGAAGCAGAAATCTTTTTTTGTCCCTCTTGGTTTTATATCTCTAACCAATCACCAAGATGTTTCCATACCACTTTTCATTTGCTCAGCTTCTTAACATTTTCTGTATATTATAGCTGCTAAGTCCCTGCCAGGTGCGTGATCTTAAGAATAGTTTTATACTTCATGAAAATGACCTGTGTTATTTATAATCTACGCACAATAGGGGCCTCTTACTAAGCTGAGCAGGG